AATCAGATAGAAAGGGGAAATATGGAAGATACAAGACAGAGTGGATATAAGTGGCAAAATTTTATATTTAGAAATTGTAGTATAGAAACAAATAGACAACAACAACAAAAAGGGAGAACACGCCCTGGCCGGTTTGGCTCAGCAGTTAGTCGGCCGGCGGTCCAGAGAGACCCGGGTTCGGTTCCCGCTAAGGGCACGTACCTCGGTTGCAGTTTGTCCCCGGCCCTGGTTGGTCGTGAGGGTGGCAGCCACTCGATGTGTCCCTCTCATGTTGATGTTTCTCTCTCTCTTTCTGTTCCCCTCTCTCCCTCCTACTCTACCTGAACAAAAAGTAAAAAAATGTCCTCGAGTGAGGTTTAAAAAAAAGGGGAGAACCTAAGGTTAGAAGCCATAGGTCCATTGCTTCCTGCCCCCAAGGACCAGCTTCTGGACGCCCTCCTGGCTGCGCTCTGGAGGCCAAGTGCTCGATGTTAAGGAGAATGGACAGATTTACGAAGAAAGTGGTGTGCCTTCGGTATTGAACTCTCAGTGCTGGCCCTTTCCTCTGTTTAAATTAAATAAAAATTTAAATGCATAAATGAAAGTGCCTGAGTTTGTTCATTTTGATCATGGCAACCTGTAAATAGGAAAGATGATTCCAATGATCTTATGGTGTGGAATAAGTCAAGCAACAATATTTGAATTTTGTCTATTAAAGATGGGCACTTGAGACCTATACTATTGAAAGAGATCCTGTAATGGCTACACACTATATATATATATATATATATATATATATATAATACACACACATATAGTGTATATATATATTTCAATTATATTTATATCATAGAACAAATAAATAAATTTATTCAATTTTACATTGAATACTTATTCATTCTCCAGATATTTATGAAGTGATTATTATTTGCTAACCACTGTTTTGAACAAGACAGGTGATGAACATAAATAAAATCCCTGCCTTCATGGTGCTATGTTCTAGAGAGAACAAAGTACTAATCAAATATACACATAATAATAAATATACATATATTATAATAATATTTAATATATACTAATATAATACCAGGTCTAATAAGCACTATTAATCTTTAGGACATACAATTTAAAAACACATAGCTGACATTTTGAGAAGAAATACTGATAGCTTTCCAAAATGGTGATTTGTTCTATGATATAAATATGAAGTGGTAGCTTTAAGTGGACAGAGAACTATATGCGCCTATAATTTGGAATCAAGAATAATGTCTTTTGACACATAGAGAAGACACTAAATATCAACTGTTACTATAGAACAGATTATACCACAGACTGGCATGCAGTGAGCAATCAAGAAAGGCTTTTTTGAGCCAGGCCGGTGTGGCTCAGTGGTTGAGCGCTAATTCATGCAGCATAGAGGTCGCCGGTTTGATTCTCGGGCAGGGCACATGCCCAGGTTGTGGGCCAGATCCCCAGTGCAGGGCATGAGGATGCAGTCAGTCAATGTTATCTCTCATCAATGTTTCTATCTCTCCTCCCTTCCTCTCTCTCTAAACATCAATTAAGGAAAACATTTTTAAAAGGAATAAAAGAAAGCCTTTTTGAAAAAAAAATAAAATGACCCCTGAACTCAGGAAGAATGAAGAAAGTCTGAGTAGATGAAGAGCTGAGGGCCTCCTAACTGAGGGAGTACCATGACACGACAATGAAGCATGATACTGAGTGGTATGTTCAGGAACCTGCAGTTGTTTTGACTGAAATACAGAGTTTGTGTCCATAAGAAGAAAAGTACACTGGGAGAAGCGGGACACAACCCAGAATGTCTTCTTGCTCTAAGGTCAAGATTATTAGGATAATGTTGAGGGTGGATGAGAACACCAGTGTCCTCTGGTCCCCTCCATCCTTTCTATTAGACTGTGTATTCTAGACGTTGCTATTCTGCATCAGGTACTGTACTAATGGTTAGAGTGAATACATTAGATTTGTAACCTACTCTCAATGAGTTAATAACAATGGCAACTAACTTTTTTTTTTTTTTTTTTTTTTTTTTAGTAATTTCTATTATACATGTACTGTTTTAAGAAATCCCCACATACTGATTCAGTTAATCCTTAAGACAACTCTAGAAGGTAAGTAGAATTCTCATAACTTGTTTATACATGACGAAGCTGAGGCTCAAAGTGGTAAATCGTGTTCATCATTGTATTTCTAATGCCAGGCATACTCTATGACATCACAGTTTCTTATTTTTCATTTTTTGAATTTATTAATTTTAGAGAGGGAGAGGAAGGGGGAGAGAGAGAAAGAGAGAGAGAAACATTAATTAGTTGTTCCACTTGTTTATGCATTCATTTGTCGAGTTTTGCATGTGCCCTAACAGGAGGTCGAATTGACAATGTTGGTGTATGAGGACAACACTCAACCAACTGAGCTATCTGGCCAGGGCCAGTTTGTTAATTAATATTTTGAATAAATAAATTAACAATGAACTAATGAATCATGCCAAAATCCAACTTTGCTAGAGCCACAGTAGCACATTCATCATCAGATCAGTCTCACTTGCCATTTTGTGAGATGATTATAGGACAATAGTTCTTAAATTTTCCCTCTATGAGACATTATGGTTTGTTTCATGAGTACAGGGTGTCTTCTTGGCTTTTTTCAGAACTCTTAATATATGTCATCCTTTTCCCCCGACCCCCACACAGCTGACTTCTTTTGTATGTGCCCCTAGCAGGGGTCAAACCCGGGACTCTGGTCCACAGGAGGACACTCCAACCGCTGAGCCAAACCGGCCAGGGCTCAGCTGACTTTTTAAATCAAATGAAACAAGCTGTCAGGGTCGAGACATGGCTGATATCCAAAATCATCATTTCTTCTTCAGGTTCTTGAGGAGTCAGATCCCTTCTACACACTTTACAGTGAATTATAATTAACTATGAAAGCAGAATAAGATCAGTTTCCCAGGAGACATACACTATAAAAAAAGAAAAGAAAAATCAAAGAAGAGACATAAAAATAAAGAGTCAGATAAAAGTGCTTGAAAGGAATGAAATAAATTTGAATAGTTCAGCACAAAATTGGCACAAAAACAAACAAACAAAAAAGAACAACAACAACAAAAAAAAAAACACTTGATTTACTCCAGTTCTTTATCATTTACTAGAATAAACAGGCAACATATAACTATTCAAGGGGGTATATACTTCACCTTTCCTCTCCATTAATTTCTCTTAACTATTCTCAGTATCTTTCAATTCCATATGAAAACAATAAGTAAGTATTTTTGATGGCAGAACCATCAACTACTATTGTGTGATACTCTGCAGAGCCATAATCCCATTACTATATGAAAATATCTTACCAAAACGCAAAGAATAACTAGATATGGATCTGTTATTCCTTATATATTTCTAGTGAATTAATTCCTAGTTCACCAGCTAATCAGATCAGTGAATTAGTGTGTGCATCCAATAAAACAGTTAATTAGCTATCCACAGTGCATTCTTAATTGAAGCAGAAAAAAAAAAAGAAAAAGAAAATAAAAACCTATCCAGATTTATATTGACATCAACTTTTAACTAAGTGTATTCACCTCAAAATCAATTATAATGGAACTTTATTGTTATATAAATGATTTGGTATTAGCTACCTTGACAAATGTGCTTTGTAGAAGAGAATTATGCTGCCTAATTAACGTTTAGTAGAAGAATAACAAAGAGGTCAATACCTATTTTCAGAGGGACTAAAAAGATGGAGAATCAATCAAAGAGAGAGAGGGAGGAAAAGCCCAGCATTGCACCATCTGTTATTCTGGGCAAGGAACTATCTGTAACCTTGTTGCCTCCAACCCAGTTCCTCCAAGTGATTTCAGAAGGTAAGGTAGCAACAGTTACCCTACTGTCTTGCACAAACACTGTTACTTTTGCCTTGAACTGTTTGCAGGGTGATAAATGCTTTGCGGTAACTACGTGGTAAATTGCAGTTCACCCCTGAATGTGGTCACTTCCACGTGGTTGTGGGGTGATTAATGAGACCGCCAAAGACCCCGACCCCAGACATCTTTGGTGGGAAGCAGGGGTTTAGGAAGGCATAAAAGCAGAAGATGGCTGGGCAGCGAGCCTGCTACCACCACCATCACTGTCTTTGCCTGTACAGTTGTTCAAGCTGCCAGAGGCTTTCTGGTTGCCACGGCAACTGTTGAGCTCTGCTGCAAACTCAAAGCAGAGCCTCTGAAGTTAGACACTAAACACTGGAGCTCAACAAATGCAAAGACAACTGGGGAGGGAGAGGAGAACAAAATTAACCCATGCACTAGCTCTACAACCCCTGTGGCTCATAGGACCTTTTTAAAATCAAATTTTGGTTTATGTTTTTATAAAATGAGATAGTTCGTGCCTGGCATTATTCATTAGTATCATCTTCTGGTGCCCGGAGAGAGGAGACTGCAAATCATCTCAATCATAAAGACGGAGAAAGGAGTCAGGAAACGCTATTACCAGGAATGCACGGAGCACGCCCATTCATTCATTCGGTTCCATGTACACCGTCTCCCAAGACTCATTGTGCGGGGCATTCCGCCAGGCGCTGGGCTGCAGCGAGCACGGAGACACCGCCCCACGCTCAAAATGCACGAGAATTTGCAAAAATTGGCAGAACCTTCGCGAGCCTGGGGAGACCAGTTAGGTACCGCGATCTTCCCGCGGGTCTGCGAAGACAGATTCAGAATCCGAACGCAGGAGAGGCAGTGGACCCCAAATAATCAGGCGGGAGGCAAGGCCAATAGGAAGAGGGAGACCTCCTTTCCCTGGGGAGGGAATCTGTCAAGGCCACGCAAACGTTTCCCCGAGGCTGCGAGAGAGTAGAGATTTGTTTTTCTTTTAGAAAAAGACGGAGCCCTTTTCCCCACTGGGCTCGATTTCTAGTAGGGGGAGACCCGCCTCTTGGGGTCGTTGATTGGCCCAAATGTTTTTCGGATAATTTATGCCAGTATCCTCTCGATCCGATTGGCTCTCCGGCTCAATTCCGCGGGGAGTCGCATCCTACCTGGTCGGGGGGTGTATCGCCTTCCCACACTCTCTCTTCTGATGCTCATTCACCAGGCTGCAGCCTAGGTGGGAGGAAAAGTCCTGGTTTGGGAACTGAGCCGAAGAAGAGATTCCGATGGGTTCTTGGAAAGCTTTTCTCTTCTCCCCTTTTCTTCTGTGGAATCAAAGTAGAGGGGTGAGGCTGGTGTTCTTGTTACTGACCTTGCATTTGGGGAACTGGTGAGTAGCTGGAAACTGAACACTGTCCTTTGGTCTCCACCTCTTCCCTCACGTTTCTCCGTCTTTAAAAAACCATTCCAAGTTAAGTAATTTGCATTTCAGGCACCTGTGCATACTTTACCATCATTTTCTTTTCTAATTAGGTCTACCCATTTTCAGATAGAATGAAATGAACCTATGTGTGAAGCATGGAGGTTAGTCCCGTTGTTTTTTACTTGAAACACGGTCAAAACTAATAAAGACTCAGTTACTGGGAGTAGGGAGGAGGAGTAGAAATGTTTTTACTACTAAATTTAGCAAATAAATGTAATTGATGAACTTTGCAATGATTCTGCATTTTAAAGAAATAGTGATTTTAGAAACTAACAAGTTTCATAGCATGGTATGTATGATGCTTTTCTATATACTAATGATGTTGTTTTCCTTACCCCATCCCTCTTTTTTTGCTATTCTGGGGGGGGGGAAAAGTTTTACATCAAGAAAAATTATAAATATGGCTAAAATCTAACAGGTTCATGTGTTATATTTATGTTAGAAATGACGGTGTATATTTTATTATGCCAGATTCCAATGATTTCTATTTTAACTGGCTGCCTACACCTAAATAAAAAAATGTATGGTGATATAAATGATGTCCTGGCTGTGTGTGTGTGTGTGTGTGTGTGTGTGTGTGTGAGAGAGAGAGAGAGAGAGAGAGATATTACCAACCCCAAGCCTCCAATTTAATAGGTCTGTAGGTCTGCTTGGGTTGTAATGCCTTTCAATAAAACTTCTAAATCATTCTGGAAAAAAAATTAATTGCTCAGGTATTTCATCTAACTATAGCAGTAGTTGATGAATGAAGTTAAGTATATTGATTGGGACAGAGACCTTATAAAGATCTTGGACATACTACTCATCATGTGACTGTATTTTATATAAATGTACGTTTAAAATTATATTATTGTATGATGTGATTCTGCTTAGAACTCAAGAGCAAAATGCAGTTGCTATGCAGATGAAAACATGCCTTTATAACTACTTGCATCATTGCCAAAATGAAGTATTATGATTACTTTTACTATATATCAAGAGTAAATTTTTTTGAATACCAGCAGATAAAACAAGTATGTTTCCTCTATGAAATTAGAGAAAAGAATGAAGTATGCTAAGTAATATTAGACATGCCAGAAAATGTATGACACTCAATGCTTTTTTAGGTATTATAGTTTTAGTTTATTTACCCCTTTTCTTTAGAAACTTAAATATTTTGCATGAGCACAAATATACTAATTGATTAATTATTTCTTATATGTAAGTTTTGTCATAATGGCATATTTATTTGACTATATTATGGAAAAATTATAGAAGAAAATTTGATAAAACATGTATCAATACTCTCATACATCTTTATAATACAACAAATGAATCTGTGTTCTCATAAATAAAAGCAGATTTAGCCAGTGGTTTTCTGAAATAACAATGTGTGTGCTCCTTTATCATTATAAGTGTAATCTAACAGACAAGCTACTGAATAAAGGACATAAAGAGATGGTTTATTTTAAACATTTTTTTTTGTTTTTGATAATACTTACATTATAATAATCATAATTGGCCCCAGAATTCTCTTCAAGCTGCTCAGAAGTTAAAAAGTTGTGTTGGAGTAGACAGAGATGAGTTCTGGCAGTCTGGGTACATGATTTTATCTGTCACAAGTCTTTAACTTCTGAAGACTTTCTTCATCTAGGCAATGAAGGGCAGTAGTAGATCATTTACCATTGCTTTAAATTTTCACCTGCTATATGTTCAAGATTTGAACTGAAACATAAAAAAACTCCATAGTTGTTTTATTCACTTTTCTTAGTACTTTTCAAGAGGGAAGTTCTAATTGAAAATCCCATGTACTTTTGATACCATATGCATGAGTGTGTGAGACAGAGGTGTTATGCAGTTCAATAGATAAATAATTCATTTTATCCTAGTACTATAGATAATCTGGATTATTCAGCCAGTAGACAAATATTTCAAAAATAAAGCTACACTTTGGTCTTATAATTAACTCTTAGAGCCTCAACTATGAGAGTTTATGTCTTCACTTTCTTTTAAAGTAGTTACAGTGTGGTGAACTTTTCATCTTTTTATTATTTAGTTGTAGATTATTGATGTCAATATATAGAAAGCATTTATATTTCTATTTTCCCCCTTTCTTCTTATTTTGAGGACCCTTTAGAAAACTAACCATAGATGTTTCTGTTTATAAGAATTTTGGTGTCTTATACTGGTTTCTGAAATAATCATCAAAGTCAACTATTGTGAGATTTACCAAATTGGAAACTATTATTTCTTATATCTCAGCAGAGACAAGAGCTTATTTCCTCATTAGTTTGTATCAAGAGCACAAAGGAGAGACAGTATATTGATTTTTATATTGCTAAACAATGAAATCCTATCTCATTGTTGCCACTGAAACTACCGTCATGATTCCTGTGTCTCATTCTCCACGAGGCTCTATGGCATCTTGATAAGTGACTTAAAATCTCTTAAGCTTGATTTAACTTATTTGTAATGTTGGGGGGAAATCTTATTATAATCAGGTTTTTAAAGAGTTGAAAAGTGTTTTGATATTTCAGCTGTTCTGAAGAGCAATTTATGGTAACTTTGACTAAGAAGTTATAATTTGGAGAGCTCAGGAAAATATCTTGTTTTGATTTTTTAAAACAATTTTATGACTCAAGAATATACAATTTAGCATACAATTGCCCAGATAAAAATATTCAGATACACTTTATAAAATTTATAATTTCAAGTAATTTCAGCATTACATTTTATAGAGGTAGTTTTGAATGAATGCCTTTTTATTTTAGCCATGTAGACTTTTTCTTAATTTTCTGATACTAACCATAACCATACAAACTTGAGGGGAAAATAACTAAGCATGATTTTCCATAATTAAATTTTCAAAGGAGTGAGAGACAACAATTTTGAAGCTAAAATTCAAGTTCTATAATTGATAAATGCCCTGTGTATAGAGTGTTTTAGGTATGCCCTTATTTTATTTTCTTACTTATTATAACACACTTTTGACTAGGCAATGAAAGCAAATGTTTGACCTTTCATTCAAACATTAAATAGACCAATTTAATAATGTATATTTATATAAAGGTGGTTGAAATTTGTCTAAGAAAATAATAGTGAAGGTGAAGTCTACAAAGGGAGGGAAAATAACAAGGTAGGAAACAGAAAAAAATTACTCAAAATATGATAAATCACTGTCATGGGGTAAGGGGGATAAGTGGGATAAGTGGACATAAATTGAATGTACTGGCCTCAGGAGAATAACTCACATATGTGCATGGGACCAGTAGAGAATTCTAGACCTTCTGATCAGATGTAAATTCTGGTTTCAGCTCTACCCTTTCCACCAGGATGATTTCAGCCAAGTCTTTGAGGCAGAGAATTCTCATCTGTGAAAAATAAAAATGACATCTACCTTTTCAGATTGTATCAAGATCAAGATAAAACATTGTGGCCCTGGCCAGTTTGCTCAGCATTTGCAGCACCAGCCAGTGGACTGAAAGGTCATGGGTTTGATTTTGGTCTAGGGCACATACCTGGCTTGCAGGTTCAATCACCTGCCTTGATCAGGTTCATGCTGGAATCAACTAATCGATGTGTCTCTCTCACATTGATGTTTTTCTCTCTTTCTCTCTCTCCGTTCCTCCCTTCAACTCTATCTAAAAATCAATGCAAAAATATCCTCCGGTGAGGGTTAACAACAACAAAAGAAAACACATTTATGGAAGGAATATAGCACTAAAATTTTAATTAAAACGACATAATAGCAGATCCTCTGTGGAACCACATTGATTCTAGTACTATTTATTCTATAAATAGTGGTTTTAAGTGCAGCAAAGTAAAATCCTTGGAGTCTTGTGCATTAATATCTTTTGACTTGAAATAGATCATTCATTCTTTTATAACAAATACCTATGGCATGCCTGCAACATGCTAGGTTTATAGTGATGAATAGACTAGACATGAGTACTATGTTTATGGAGCTTTTACTCACTTCAAAAACCTAGATTTGTGGTATCAATCAAAATATCTTGTAGTCAAAATAATGAAATATACATTTAGAACCTCAAGGATAAACAGAAGAGTCTTAATTTTTAAGGATAGGAGGTGCTGATGGAATAGATCACAATCAATGGAAGAAAACTAGAGTCATGAGATTTCTTACAGCATTAATAGAAGACAATGGAGTAAATGTCTCCAAAGTTCTGAAGACAAATGTTCACCCTAGAAGATTATACTTAGAAAAGTTACCAAACCAATATGAAGGAAGAATAAAGCCTAGATACTGTTATGCTCCTCATTTTACAGATGAAAACCTGAGGCAGAGCAATTTTTAAGAATTTGCTAAAGAGCTCAGCTAATGTGGCTCAGTGGTTGAGCATCTACCCGTGCACCAGGAGGTCGCTGATTCAATTCCCGGTCAGGACACATGCCCAGGTTGGGTCCCAAACCCCAGTGGGGGACATGCAGCAGGCAGCGAATTGATGTTTCTCTCTCATCCATGTTTCTATCTCTTTCTCCCTCTCCCCTCTTCTTTCTCTAAAATCAATAAAGAAAAAAAAATTAACAACAACAACAAAAGAATTTGCTAAGGATCACCTTGCTGATAAGTGCTGAATCCAAGATTCAAATGCATGTATTCTATGCCCAGAGTATGCAGTCTAAACCAACACACCTCTCAGATTACAAATACTATGCAAATCAAACCAAAAGAAAAAAAAAATGACTGTGGATGAAGGAAACAAAGGGGAAGGGAGAGAAAGAAAAAGGAAAGGGAAGGGAGGATGGTGTACTTGATAGAAGCACAGTAAGTATAACAATCTACTGTGTACCTATCACATATTCTGAATATTATGTATGGTACTAGATTATTTATTTGGATAAAAACTAACAAACTGGAGTGGAGTACTTAATTTATAAAAAATCATAAGACAAAGGGTTAAAAG